GAATTATTTTCTACAAAAGTTAACGAATTATTTTCTACAAAAGTTAACGAATTATTTTCTACAAAAGTTAACGAATTATTTTCTCTATAATTCCAACAATTTTTTAATAAGAAATGTGAAACTTGACCGCCATAGTAAAAATAACACACCTATGTCATTACATTCTCCTTCGTTTTCGTTTCACGTTACCATTTTACTTATAAACGCATAAAACCCGCAGTCCATTAATCACTGTTTTATAGAGCCGTTTGCACCGTTTGCTCTGAATTGTTTTGTTAGTGCAGCTCATCGGTTCAATGTCGACTTGCTTTTTCTGTTATTTAAGTCTAGGGAAGGTAAAAGGAAGTCTTCGTTGATGAATGTTTTTATTCCTCTCGGTGCTCACCTGATTTATTCGTAATGGCGATAGATTATCAAGTAATGGGGTGTAATTACTGAGCAAATAAAAACGTGGACTTTCATTTCCTTATCTTTAGAAAGCAGATGAATGCTGTGATACATGGGTGATTTGGAATATCAGATTTAAGTTCACTGAATGCAAGAGCAATTAGTAACGAAAGTGCTCTAATGAGACATTTCGTTCTCCATTTTTACGAAAAGAAAATTCTTTAATTTACGTACGAACATAAAACATTGTTACATTTTTATCGAATTCTTCAATATTTCATGTTCCATGTAATGTAACATGAATATGAATTTATTCGTTCATAAAAGTAATGAGATAAATTAATAGAGCACGACATAAGATTGAATAAAAATGTTTCAACATATTGCACATATTTTGAACAGTAGATCGAAAAGACATAACGCAATAACTTATCTCATCATACAAGTAATATGCTCATTCATCGATGAAAGTAATAAAATAAATGAATATAGAATAAATAAATACAAGGTAAACGAATACAAAGTAAAGGAGTATAAAATAACTGAATATAAAATAAAACGACATAAAATGGTTCGAACCTATTGCACCCCATGTGACGTTATTCAGAAGGGACCATTCCCTGCTCCGACTCCTCAAAAAATGGAACACCCTCCGGCTCTCGTCGTCGGTCACCCTAAGCGCCACCACGCAAGCGAGACAAAGCACCTGCAAATCGAACGTCCCACAAAATTATAATCAGCCCGTTCGAACCAACAAAATAGAAAGCGGGTAAAACAGTTTCAATTCATTGTTTCGTGTTCATTCTTTTTCCTCACTTCGCTGTGAATCGTTAAACGTGGGAATAATTACAAATAATTGATTGTGGGAACATCCGAAGGAATCATTATCTTTGTGTCCTGAGAACAAGGAGCTAAATCAATTAAGATGGTTACGTTGGAATGCGGCATTTGCGACGGAAACCATAAGATTTTAATTTGAAACTCTGTTCTTCGTGTTTCAACGATTGCGTCGGATTCAGCTGAATATTATTGTGATTGTTATTACTATTATTATTATTTCTCACGCACCACTTCGATGATCCTGATGAACACCTTCCGGTTCCACATGTTATCGATCACTCACGGAAATTCAAATGAAAGAACAACGACAACCTCTTTGCGCAATTCTCACTCTTGTTCGTCGCATTACGAGAAGTCTCAGGCTAGTAACGAATTATCCTGTTACGGAGTCACTGTGCTGCGATTTTGAAACCGGTCATTATTGTTGTTCTTCACTTGAATGGTTCTTAGCGAATCTTTCTTCTTTTTCTCGATTCAATTCCTCGCTCTAATTACATCACGACGTTCTTCATAGTCCTTATCTAATTGTTTCATAAAATTCGGCACACTTGAAACTCGTTCAGAAATTATTCCTGCATAGTAATATATCATAATGAATTATATTTTTAAGTATATTCTTTAGAGAAGCAAAGATAAAATATCATCGCGTTTGCTCAATAATTGCACACTTTGATTTATTTCGGGATAACATTAAATGCACCAATTAATTATTCACTATTGTTTCTTTGATCGATCGACTATTGCTACAGGCAGAAGATTAGTGTAACACGCTATAATACAACTCTAATAATTTCAAACATAATCTCGAGGAAAATGAAGAAGATATTTATCATCGCGTTTGTTTGAGATTGAATTATTGCATCAATGAATTATTTAATTGTTCCTCGATTAGAAATTCGACTCACTGTCGATGGGCACGTCCAAAAATGATCGAAAAATTGGCAATCTATTCTATCCTGCGGATTTTATGGATTCAGCGAAAACACCAACGCGTAAAAGGTACGCAGAAACTTTCAAGACAGCGCTATTTGAAATTTAACTCTTCAAAATCCTTAGAAAAAGCAACCCAATCAACCGCAGGAGGTTTCAATTTTCCGCGAATCTCTGGCAAATTAGTGAATCGGAAATCGGTGCATCTGATAGATTCTCACGGTCGAATTTTGACACTGTCACACAGCCGAACGATTCAACACTTTTCATCGTAGACGACGGTATGCGACATCTCCGAGGAACGGTCCGGAACAAATTTGAAGAGGACCGAGCTAAGTCATTCCGGCACAGCGTGCGCGAGGAACTAAATTAGCAATCGATAAAGAGACGAGTTAAGACAGCGAGTCTTGTCACTCTCGTTCGACCGGGCCGCTGTCGAAAGGATTGCAAAAACGAAGACTCGGATCGCAACGCGCTCGGACGACAACTGAGGAGATAGGAAGGCTCGTGGTTTTAGTAGCACGAGCTACTCCGTGTCAAGTTAGAACGTCGTCGGCGTGGTGCAGGTAACAACAATGCTATTATCGCAGAGTGCATTGGCGCAGGACGGTGTGAATTTTTGCAATAAGTGCCGCGAACCCGCCCGGCGAACCTTGAAACGGTTCGACACCGTGTCGTCGATCAGTTCAACATCTATGAACAACGTTGGATTAAAGAGTTACACCTTGGATCGATAAAATTAGAATTACTTAATTATACTTCGTATAATTTTCCGAAAGTTTCGCTGAGGAATTTAAAAATGTTGACGTGCGGGGATGTGTAGGAGATATTTCTAAAAATTGTAATCTACATGAACGAAGAAGTTTTATTTAAACCGATAGGAGCAGCATTTGTTTTTGATGATTATTAAAATTTCTGTTTATTAAGAAGGAACCGGTGGCTGCTGTTTTGAATGCAAAAATAATGTACCTCAGACTGGAGGAGATCTTATTAAAACGAAGAATTTATAGCTCGACATAATATTTACATTAAATTCAATAAAAAAAAATTGAGAAAGTTCTTAAACGCAGTGAAGTGATTTTGAAAACTATCTACCGTTAGGACTGATTAATGAACAAAGAAAGAGGTTCAGGTAGAGGTTTTCTGGAACGTCGGTATATATCAATGGTTTTTGCTCTGTTTAACATTCTTTTCAGAGAAATTCTGTTTCCGTATCGATGCTTGAATGAATATAGATGAACTTTCGCGGGCGAATGTATTTTCGATTTGCAATTCCGCATGACTTTCTTCTCGCAGATCTCTTATGTTTTTTCGACGCTGGAAAATAAGTCTTTTAATTACCACCGATTCTCGGCGCGAAAGATTAGCTTTCTGAAACGAAGTCGTGTATTTCATGTTGGATATACCGCCTCTGTGAAAAGATACATGAAAGGAGGAAGCAGAATAATCCATAAATTTAAAAACTGCATGCTCGAATCTCGTATCTGCATGCACGTCCTGAGATATCGCAATTGACTCATTTCCATGAATCATCCGCTGATTGCAAATTAAGGTAATTTTCTATTTAGCCGGAAATGCGATGATTCTTCGTTGAACAAGTGTTATGAGTAAAAAAATGAGTAAAAAATTGTCGAAGTCGATTGTAAGAAACGTAAGTCAGATAAACATGTCTTTTCCATTTAGTAATTTTAAGAAATGGTGTGTGACATGAAAATATTCTCAAATTCTTCTGACGCCCTTATGGTTTCGTTTTCAACCCAGTCAGTTTTGTCAACAATGGAGTCTGGTTATGCATCAGTATCTCTAGCATAACATTTAATAATCATAACTGATCGTTCGAAAATCTTTAATATATTGTCCATCATTTATTATGCATTCATTTTATAATATCAAAAATAGGAATCAAATAGTATACTGAAACGGCTCTAACCTTATGAGTCATAAAGCATTCGACTTGAATGACTATACATTATGTATCATTAGATGCAGATCTGCATGCAATACGTACACAGATGTTATTTTAAATTACTCGATGTGTAATTTGAATTTCATAGAAACGAAAGAAAACAAACCGCTTCGCGTGTAGTTAATAATAGATAGAGAAATAAGAACGCACACGTGAAGAAATTGTTTGCGGATGATGCAAATACGGTGAAGCCGTATTTGAAATAATAAAACGAGTCAAGGTTTTTAATTGATTGATTTAGAAGCAGAGACAAATTAAATCTTCTTTTCCATTCCAAGTTGACAGCAAAATTAAAAAAAGAAGATATATTTTAAGAAGAAGATTTTATTAAAGATGATATTCATATTATATTCGAAGTTATTGTGATTTGGAAGGCGCAGAATCAGCCTAAAACGATGTGTGAAGAAGTATCTCGATGAAAATAAACAGAAATGGATTCTTAGAAGGCGGTCCATTTGTAACTTTGTTATATTTTATCGGAGTCGATTTCCGTGTCGAAAGAACCGAGGGCAGTCGATCACCTAGAATATTCCATCGCAGAACGTATCGAATTGTATCGCATTAGACCCCTACTTTCCGGTACAGCTACGATATGTTTCTCGTATCTCGCAACGTTCCAAACGATCAGGAAACATTGTATGATGAATTCTAGCAAAAAGATTTTCGATCTCAGGTTTGAGCGTGCTCGAGGTTGGCCGGGCAACAATGTAACGTCGTCGACGCGCAAACGTCGGTCTGGAAAGATTCGGATCTATGGTCGAGCTGAACTGAACAGCTTCATTTCGTTTCGCATCGTTAAAGTTGAAAGGCTATCGTTAATGTGAAATAACTTCATTAATCAAATAATGTTTCGAGTATATGTGTAATTATAAGTGGCTAACGTACGGAGATTTATCATCGTGATATTTTGGCCATTTTCTGGGAGTCATGTGCGTCCCTACGGAGAGTACAAAAATAATATTTAAATTGCATTTTAAAATTAAATAAAATTTATTTTATATTTTATAATTTCACAGGGTCGCGTGTGCAGGTTCGAGCAAAGGCCTCTTGACGGTCCCCTAAAACACGGAAACAAGGGTTCCAAGGAACTGTTAGGTTGGCAAATAAGTCATTGCGTTTTTTGTATTGCCATCTGTGGGAAAAAACGCAATGAATTATTGGCCAACATAATAGAATGCAGGACATGTACGCATGTGTATAGTTTCAGAGGATATTTTGTGGTATAAAAGGGCCATAAATCGATGCTCATTGGACAGTATCTTAGAGTCGAGACTGTGTGTGTGTGTCGAGACCCGCGCGTATATCATGTCGCCCCCGCATTCCTTAGTGCGCGAAAATCGAGAACACGGAACATAGAATCCGCGAAGCAGTTTATACTTAAACAATTGTAAAACCTTAATTCATTTGGTAATATGCTATACTATAGTATTAGTATATCGAATCTCAATTAATTTATTCGGTCACCGATTGTGAAGAAAGAGGATTTAACGAATAATAATTAGAAAATTGAATAGTGAACAACATATAGATATCGAAAAATATTACCATTGGACATGAACCTTACGAACATAACAGTTTCCAGGAACAATAAAACCATGATTGAATTTATATGAAAAATTTAAATACACAAGTTTGAAATTCAATTAGAAAAATGTAATGTACCGTCTGTATCAAAAATCAGATTGAATTTATACGAAACGTTTAAATATCTCAGTTCGCAGCTCGATTAAAATTAGGAAAATTACATTAGAAACTAAATACAGTCTTCGAGAACCGAAGCAATCGATGACTTTAAACGCTAAAAATAAAATTTTTTGGGGAGTGGTAAAAACAAATGAGAATAAGGGGAAGGGCAAAAACAGATGAAGCACATTAATGTAATAGCGGAAAAGAAATTCACGGATCGAAAGAAGAGAGAAAGATTCATTCGGTGGACTGAAGGGAAATGAATTGATCCAATGGCAACAGGCCGAAATAAGCGCCATCTGACCCCATACACTTGACCCATAGAACCACCGTGGTCCGCAGCATTAGTTCCATTCAAACCGTGGTGATGTATCCTTCTGTCGATCATCGATCTCGCAATCAAAATCTTTGTGTGGACTCGGCCCTCGTTTAACGAACTCGATCGACTTTATTTCCTGTATTTTCCCAGTAAACGAACATTGCATAACCGTTCGATAGCGATTTAATTAAAACACAGTGAACACAGTACTTAACGCGAAAATATGTTGACCGACTTCAAGAGGAATCCGCAAGAAACTGGAAAGAATGAAGTCACACAAATAAGCAAGAAACAATTGTGTGAGTAGTACAAAATATGAATATAGGGGTAGTTTTTTTTTACGTGAGATTGCTTAGAATTGTCTCAAGAACGTTCGTTATTTAATAGAGATTTGACGATACCGATTCTCTCAGGCTCAGCGTTAAGAATCGAAAATTTAGTAATAAGTTTCTCGAATGATTTCTTATTTTCACAGTTTTAATCCGAATTTTTTAAATGAAAACACAGATTCAAAGTTACAACTTCGTTTTTCTTATCTCTTGTTCTGCGTGTACCATTTTTGCATGTTCAATTTTCATTCTTGGTTGCAAAACCTGTATTTCTTATCAAACTTTCAATTTTTTTCCTTTTATTTCCTCATTAATCTATTAATTTCATTTTTAGAATTTAGAACTTTCATTCTCGTATTGTGCTTCGATTAATACGATCCTGTAGAAGATATTTAAATAAATTTTCTCATTATAAAACAAGTTTATAACATATTCC